TTTTAACTCAGCCTAGAATTCTGGCCTTTCATCTCCTGACAGAGATAATACCCTTCTGACCATTAAAACCCTTCTTCTCTTCCTCAGTGTAAATGGGTTTATTTCTTATTAATACCCATTTGTTCTTGCGCTAGCACAGTTCACACACTTGAATAACCAGGGGGTATTTTGCTCCTGCATGGCACAGACACCTTTCATGAGATATTCAGAGATGCTCACATGCCCTCTCAACCCTCGTTTTGTTATGCTTTATCAGCCAAAAGTCTTTTAATCTAATGCTGTTAAACCCCAATAGCATCCCCCTTCTCAGCATCTGTCCCACTTAAAAGTCACCATTCTGGGAATTATCAAGAATTACACAGGGTTTCAAAGGATGCTCCTAGGTGAGTTATTAGCAATGGGAACCTGAACTCCAGCAATTTCAGCATAAAAGCAGAAGGCTTTCCTGACAGAAGTGGAAATATTTCCAAGCTCTGGAAGAATTAGAAATCTTTATATCACCTGGATAAGAGAAAGGAGGAGGGAGCCAGACATCTCCTGTCTGCCCAGTCTGGCTGACAGATGTGTATCCCACCAGTGAATGGGATACCTGGATAAATACTGTCTCCCGAGTTTGTAATCAATTCCCTCATCCATAGAAAGTGACAGCAAGTGTGGCTTTGCTGTGTACCTGGAAGGATACCAGGAAGAACAAAAAGGAAGAGATTTATAAGAAAACCACAGTACTGATTTAGTAAAAAATTACATCCCGTTAGTCTGTGCTTTGAGTGTGCCTGAATAATCAGTGCCAAAATCACAGTGCTTTAAAAATCCATTACATAAGAAATACAGCCATTAATCCTAAATTGCAATGAGGGGAAGAAGGGAAGGGAAGAAGACTTCAGTCTCTGCTGTGGATGCTCATTCTGAAAGCCTTTAATCTCTACGAAGTCATGTTTGAGATGCAGTTGCTGGGGAAATAAACGTGATGGCACACAAAGGAAAAAACACTGTCAAGTGAGGAAGAGACAAGAGTAGCAGGTGAGCCCTGATGAAACAAAGGACTCTTGCTCTCCAAGTGAAGCCTCTAACAAAACAAAACATGAGGCAGAGTGACTGAAAACATCTTAGAAAAATTGACTGTGCTTAGGTGAGTAGGACATCTGTGAGACTTTATCTAAATTACACAATCTGAGGCATTTCGCCCATTCAGTGTCTCTAGGCTTCTTAAATGAGAGGGGAGGTTTATCTTCTTCCCATTACAACTGCAAATGTGTGTCTAAATCCTCGTGTATGTATGCACCATTACTGACTTACAAATACCACATTGCTTCTCAGCAGTTCTTACTCAATCTCCTGTGGTTCAGGGAACACTAAAACACAAAGATTATTTTGCGCTTGGTATTATAGATAATATCTTTTTCTTTAAGGTTCTCAACTCTCTTGGGGCCTCTTCCTCAGGAAAATTCAACTCTTTGACAACAAAGCAGTGACTCAAAATGAAAAAACACTTTTCTTCTGTGCTCTGACCTTCGCTGTAAGCATTGCAAAGGGCTTAAGTGAAGAAACAAAAGATCAGGAATCCTTCTGTGCAGTACATGCTCTTAACCTTCATCACTGCTGGAAATGAGTCCCACTTTAATCTGAACAGGGACAAACACAAAACCAACTCTCGTCATCAGACCTTGGGACAACAATTCCTGCAGCTGTGCAGAAATTACATTCTCGGCATGGCAGATCTCTGTCTAAAAGTCTGCTGCTTAGAAGGAAAAGGAATGTCTGCACAAACACTCACATCTTTACATTCCTGAGCTCTACTGTAGCCCTGCCTTCATGTCAAAAACACCAAATAAATGTTTCAGCCCTCCTGAAGGGCAGGGCACAACTGCAGGTAAAATATCAGGAACCTGACAGAGGTCTGTGGACAGCAAGGAAAAAAAAAGAGATCAGAAGAAAAAAAAACTTTGATTCATATTTTTGGCATTTAGACTAGATGGTCATTTTAGGTCCCCTCCAAATGAAATTTTTCTACTGTCTTCTAATCTATTTAATATTAGCGTAAGTAGTGAGAACACAAAGCATTACAAGCTAAGAACGATTTGAAAGTAGCTTGCTCCACTGAAAAAGTTGCTTTTTAGGACCTCAATCCAGCCAGGGCAACAATTCCCCTGAGCTTCAAAGCCCCATATTCCAGATGCTGTGGTATTTCTTTCCAGCCCTTTCACTGTGGAACCGAGCAGCCAAGTATGCGGATGCTGTTGAATAAAAATGAATTTGCTATCAGCTCTTTTGCCCAAACCAAAGAAAAAAAATGGCCAGCTGGAGGTTAGAAGAGCAAATAGTGGCTCATGGTGTAACCAAAGAAGAATGTGGTCCATGTGGTGGAGTTCTATGTACACATTTCTTTACATAATTGGCAGTGATTACACCAAATAGAAATGGCAATTCAGACCATCCAACAACAAATCAGTGATCACAGCCCCTCCAGGCAGACAGATGGAGAGCCCAGGGGGAGTTCAGCCTGATTATTTGTTCCAAAGTGCAAAGAACACTGCAGACATAGGTCTGGGAAAGCACACCAGCTGCTGCACTCCCTCGGCCACAGCACATGTGGACCAGCTCTGGACATGGATGCACAGCGTGGCTTTGTCCCAACAAAGGAGCACTTGTGTGCTCACTGCTCACCCCCACAGTCATATCTGCTTAGGTCAAAAGGGATTTGGGTGAAAATGAGGGGTATTTACACAGAGCTTCATTTTTTTCTCTTTGCCTTGTCTTTTCTGAGCTTTGCCCCTCGTTCCTACACGATGAAAGCCCTTATGGCCCAGCAGTTAAAATTTGTCCTCCATAAGCAATTTTTACAGCCATGTGTACTGTTCTTCTACTTCCAAGCAGGACAGAGAAGTACTGAGCATTAGAGTAAGAATGAATAAAGCAATGAAACATGGAGGAGGAATAGCTCCCTTGCTCTTCTCCTTGTCTCTCACCTGTCCCAAGTACAAGGTCACTGTGAGCTGCAGGTGTCCTGTGTGTGAGCCAGCTGCCCCATGGCCACACTCCCTGCTCCTATGGACATAACAGGGAAGTGGATTAAGGGATCTATGGCCCAACTGCCCCAACAGTTACAGTCACCACGAGGGACAGAGGCCACAAACCTGATGCTGAAAATGCCTGAAATGAGCATATGAATGAGGCAGCAGGAGGGGAAGTCCCATGGGCCACATCAAGGTGTCCCACCTGTCTGACTTCCATATGATGAACCCTGGCAGGACTCCTCCAGAATACAAAGGCAGCAGACAAACACAAAGAAGAAGAAAAATACTCTCAAGCAGGAAAGATTTACGTTCCCTGTTCTTCTTTATATACCAAAGTAGCAAAAACTTGCAGAGAATGGAAAAAAGGCTAAAGCAAGAACAGCAGCAGCAGCCAAAGACAATTTCTATTTCCTAAAAAACAAATAGTTCTTTCAAAACCAATTTTATACCCAAAAGAGAAAGATTGCAGGGGACACATCCATTTTTCCCACTGTGTAGATTTGTAAAGCTAAGTATGTACCACCTGAGTACTGCATAAAATACCAATTAGAAACATTTGTTTTGGGCAAAAGAAGAAACTATGAGCCACTCTGGTTAACTGCCATCTCTGAGAGCAGCAGACTTTTTCCATTTGTCTTCTCTTCCACTAAAAACAGAGGAGTGGTTTATGAGCAAACAGTGAAAGCTCAGGTCTCATTTTCCAATTTGAAGTCTCAGAAGTACTCAGCCCTGTGTTCTTACCCTGTAACTATCCTCCAGTCACCTGTAATCATACTCAGTGGTCTCAGCTCGGCTCTCAGTGTCTTGCAGCTGCCCTTTATCAGTTATTTCCCCCCCTCCATGATTTTCCCTGACAGGTTTTCTCTGGATGGCAAAGCTGAGTGGCTCTGCCTGAAATCAGAACTGACTCATGCCCCTAATGCCTATAGGAGATAGCACTTCTGACCCACGAAGGGAAACAATTTTCCACCAAATTGTCTCCACTTGGCTGTCAATATTTAGCTTAACTCCACCTGCCTTATTGCTTATCTCTAGATCTGATGTGTTTTACTAATGGAAAAGGCATCCTTCTCTTCTGCTGGGTTGGGTGGCCCACTGTGCCCACCAGAAGTACCACATGCTAAACTTGTACTGACTTTAGTTTTAGGCTAGTCTCTAGTTTTAATATCTAATATCTTGTACTGACTTTAGTTTTAGGCGAGTATCTGACTAGATGTTTACATGGTGATACACTCAAAATCTGTGCAAAATGCTCAAATATTAGCTTTACTAGCCCAGTGCAAAGTACAACATTCAAGCATTGGAACAGGCTATCCCGGGAAGGGGTTGAGTCACCATCCCTGGAGGTATTTAAAAGACACGTCGATGTGTCACTTGGGGATGTGGTTTAGTGGTGGGCTTGGCAATGATGGGTTAACGCTTGGACTCGACGACCTTAAAGGTATTTTCCAACGAGATCGACGCGATGATTCCATGCTAGAAGTGAAGCGCTTACATTGCAGAGACCAGGGTGCCGGGTCCCTAGAGGAGGGTGCGGGATCCCTTGGGTCTCTGACCGCCTGGGCAGCCTGTCCCCATCTTTCGTGATCCCCCCGTAGCTCGCAGCCCCGGGCGGCGGATCGGAACCCCAGGGCAGGACTGAGAGGTCCCAGCGCCGGGCGGGGCTGCGCCGCTCACACCGGGGCAGCGCTCTCCTCCAGGATGCCCACGGGGCACAGGAGGAAGGGGCACACTGGGGAGCCCTCCGGGGTGGGCAGCACCCCTCTGCAGCGAGGGGGACGGGCAGCTCTTCTCCCGGGGACGATCTGCCAGGGCGAGACCAGGACTCGGCAGCGGGGCCGACAAAGGAATACGCCGAGCAGCACGGAGCTTTGGGGCGGCGCGGCGGAACCCCCGGCCGGGAGGAGACAAAAGTTCCCCGGCGGGGCCGGTCGGGGCCGGTCCGGACCCCCGCCCCGCCCGCGCCCCGCCCCGGAACCGGGCGCGGCTCCCGCGGGCGGCGGAGCCCGGCGGCTGCGGGCGCGGCGCTCGGGGTCCCTGCCCGTCGGGGTCCCTGCCCGCAGCAGGGTCGCTGGCACTGAGGGTCCCTGCCCGCAGCAGGGTCTGTGCCGTCCCCGCCGCAGGAAAGCCGCCGCGGTAAGGCCGAGCTCCGCCGGGGGCGATCGCGGGAGCGGCATCGGGAGAAGTTGGGCTGAACCCCTCCGGGGGCTGCAGCCCGGGCCGGCCGTGCCCCGCTGCCGCCCGCTGGGACGGGCCGGTGGGACGGGCCGGCGGCCGCCGAGGAAGGAGCTCCGGGCGGCTCGGAGCCGCAGGAGGGATGGCAGAGCGCAGGGGGATGGAGGCGCGACAGCAGCCGGGAAGTGTAGGTGGGACCCAGTTTGGGCTGCAGGTGCGGCAGCATCGCTGGGACGGGGCCCCGCTGCCGCTTTGAGGGTACACGGGAGAGGTGGGAGCCGGTCCGGGCTGCGGATGCAGCAGCGCGGTGTGAATGTGAGTGGGATGGAGCCGGGATTGCAGGTGCGAGAGTGGAGCGCACACAGGTGGGAGGCGGTCCGGGCTGCATCGCTGGCACACGCTGCGGGGTTCGGACACGCTGCGGGGTTCGGACACGCTGCGGGGTTCGGACACGCTGCGGGATGTGGTTCGGGTCGCCGCTGCGGGATGTGGTTCGGGTCGCAGGTGCGGCCGCGCGGTGCACGGGCGTGAGGCGGGCCGCACTGCACGTGTGGGTGCAACGTGTGCGGCTTGCAGGTGGGATGTGCGGGCGGGATGTGGTCCTCTGTGCCTAGGGCTGGCAGAGCATCTCCCAGCGCGGAGTGGATGGATGCTGTGCCTGCGTCTGCGCTGGGCCACTTTCAGGCTTTTATTTGGTAGAATTCTTTTCTGTTATTCAGTGGTTTTCAGGCGAGGTTTCCCAAGTCCTGCCCGGTTTTCCCACATAGTTCTCTCCAGCCTCATCCTCCCCTCTGCTCAATAACTCTGCAGTGATTAAATAGCTTCTTGCAACATCAGTATACAGAGCTGAATTCCAGAGCTCGTGGGTGGGGAAGGAGTGCTCAGACATACTGATTTTAGAAGAAATACCCCAAAACGGTGCTTGTGGTTGTCCCTCCCTGTACCAGATCAGCACTGTGGAACTGTACGTTCTTTTTTTGGATTCTTAAGACTGAAGAATTTCTCTGGGTAAACACAGTGCAAAACACCCCAAGCTCCCTAGTAGACTGCAACTCAAATTTCTGGCTTGAGTTAGTTGAAAAGGAAAGTTGGAGTCAGCAGAGTTACAGTAAGGTTGCCATTGTCCTACTGAACTTGCTCAGAATTTGGGCTGTCTGGCCACTAATCTAATTCCTCTTCCATCCACTTAAGCTTATTTTTCCACGAAACAGAGGCTGCCAAAACCAGAGGGCAGGGGGGAAGGGATAGCAAGAATCTGAGGATATGAGATTTTTTTTTTTTGTCCTGTTATAAGTTAATAATCCCATTCTAGGCTGTCATCCAAAAATATTGCTGAAAAAATGCAAGCAGTGTACAAGACCCATTGTATAAAAGATAATCTATATGTAGGACAGGAAGAGACCTGGCAGGTCAGCAAATCTAAACACAGAATGATATTATGCCTTATTGCACACCACTGTAATTCATTTGTTGCCAGCCTTCTGGGAAGGGGAAATTTCACACCTTAATTGAACTTATATTATAATCCTTTCTCTGATATATGGCTTTCTCTTACTTTGTATTTGCACTATGTCTGCTTCATTCTCCCCGTCCGGTGCTTTTCTCTTATCTGTGTAGAAATAGGAGTTGCATGCTTTTCTCTTTACTGTGCAATGCCAAACAAGCTACAACTCGCTGTCTGCTTTAATGAAGCAAGCTCCAGCTTCTGCTGATCCCTGGCAATTTTGAGCTGGGCTTCTTAATCTCCGAGTTCCCTGTGGATGAGCAGAGCTGCAGGACTCAGAGGTCCTGTGCTTCTCATGTTTTGACACCTCACCTAGAAATAAATCCCTCACCAGGTAGGTGCTGCAATTAACCTCCTCCTCAGGCTCCTCCTGTCCTGTGATGGGGGGTGGGAAGCTGAGATTTTCCTCTCCAGGTGTCCATCTGACATTTGTTTTCTGCTGTCAGCTCTCATTGTATTCCAGTCATTCTGTTGATCCCATTTTTATTGCATATCCCCATGTTCTGTGCTGGTTCAGTATTCCCTCAGCTTTCTCCCACTTGCTCTGTCATGAAGGGAGAAGTTAAGTAGGATGGAATCTCCCTCACTTGCAGTAGTGACCCCTGCTAGACTCAGACTGACTCCTTCCATTTCAATGTCTGTCTGATCCTTCTAGGTCTGTACTCTGTTTATTACAAATCTTTATCTTTTGTTTGCAAACTTCTGATTTCACTGGACTGGATAGAAAATGGCTTCAAATGTGTTGTAAGCTGAACTTTATCCCTGTCTTGTGTGCCAGGTATGCTGGACAGTTTTCCCAGAGTAGCTGAGCAGAAAATTTTTCTTACCAAAGCAAGCTAAGTTTGCTTTTGTCCTTCTTTCCACCCAATTCACTTCCATGGCATCAGTTATTAGATGTGGGGTTTTTCTGCAGTGATTATTCTGTTGATGAGGATGTTTAACCCCACCATTGTACTGTAACCATGAGTAGAAGATGGGTGTAATTCAGCAGTGGGTTGCAGCACAGTAATGCAGGTTGGGCAGTGAGCTAAGCATTCATCAAGCTGAAACAGCTGAAGGAACTTCAGGCAAACTCAGTGCTCATGTCTGAGCTTGGGTTAAGCTCCCACTTGAATATCCTTGCTCTTAATATTTGCAGGAAGGTCTATCAATAATGATTCAAAGAAAATACCACTGAACCAACAAACTCAGGTCATGGGGTCACACAGTGACACTGGACAAATCCAGCTCTGCTCAGTCCAAAATACTGCAGTTGGTAAGTGCTGATAAACATAAGGAGTTATCCCTACTCCATTCATTAACATTGTTGCTTTTTATATAACTAGGTGAAAAATATCTAAATATTTTGCAGAAGGTAGACTGCAGCATGATACCCCTCATGTTCAGTGCATGACTACCTGCTTCTGACCTAATATATCATAATCCCTTTGGCATTATCCACCAAGCCCAGGTTTATTCCAGTGTTTCTCAGCATTGCCTGTGAGCAGTTTATCATGCAGTGTTCATGAGCTTGGTCTTGCAGAGGTTGCCTTCCCCTCCCAATGGCTAGAAAAAGCTCTGAGAGCACCAAGTGCTGCAACAGGATGGGCAAACAATCTCTGTTTTAATTTTACTGAGATTTCTCCAGTCCTGTGCTGCCAACCAAAATGCTAAGAACAAATTTGGGGACAGAAACAAGTCACATCAAATTTTGTGTTTTGACTGTCTCCTTCTAAAGAAGGGCAGCTTCATGCTCACAGGTCTGGTGTGGGGCTGTCACACCATTCCAGTGGTTCCAGTTCTGCAGGCATGCTTTAAGGACTGGAGTGAAGTACAAATTGGGAATGCTTAAAAAAAGCATTTGAGTGACTTTTCAGTGCCTAGCAGATTCCTTGTCAAGGGCAAGTATCCTCTGGCTCCTTTTTCCTAGGAAAAAATAATAATGAGCAACAGATAAGTTTTATGACTGCTACCAGATAATGCCAGTGGTAGATAAGGTGATTTTATGAAACTGAATACAGAAGAAAATAGGGTGTGGGGTTCAAGCATGAGGCCTTGAGTCATTGCCTGGCATCTACAGGAGTGCCCAAAATTAAAAGTGATTGTGTGATGTGGCAGATGAACATTTGTTGCTGCTTTGTCAGTCAGCCTTTCACATCTGCAGAAAGCATCAGGAGGGCATCTAACAGCATGGTGGGTTTTCTGTTTGATGTAATGAACACATATTGTTAATGGATTCAGCTGTTTCTACTATTTTAATACCTGAGCTGACATTTCAAAGTACTAGGAATGCTGGAGCCACAGATCAATGAGAATCTTAAGTAAGCAGTAGTGTTTGCAAAAAGCTCTGTAGCATTTGATGGTGTATTTCAAGGTCTCTGAAAAACCAGCTGAGCTGATACAGGACACCAGACAAAGCCAGAAAGGACTGAGAGACAGTGGATGAAGTCCTCATTCCAGCATTGGAGTCACTCAGCTGACTCCAAAATGTTTAATGACCACAAAAGAAACAGATTGCTTCAGAAGGGACATTGCTCCAGCACTGTGTCCAGTGTCACAAGAACAGACAAATGAAGACCTGCCAAATGCTGTAGTTGGTAAGGCCTGATGTTGAACTTGGCATGGTTGTAGTAATTATCACCAGATGGTGCTACTTGGCATTGACTTCCCTCTTGTTATTTTTACCAGACCTTTATTCAGCTGAGGTGTGAACAGTATTCATTTTGTGGAATGTTAGAGGCCAGAGCAGGGATTTGCTCTTTGCACTGCTGTTCCATCAGTTTGTGAGCAGGTGTCCTCAGTCACTCCTCGGTGCTGAGGACTTCCCCACAAGGTACACAAGGAAAGTTTCAGCTGGTGGTTTGCATTGCTGCTCACAGAGTACCTGCAGACTCTCTGACACTGATTTTACCCCAAACCCAATTTGCAAAGCCATCGTTGCCTCTGCTGCTCCCAGGCTGATGGCTAGTGCTAACATAGGACATCACTTGTGGCAGCTGGCCACCTTGAAACTATGTGGGTCTCCACTTTTCCAGATGGGAAAGCTGAGTCACATTTTAACAAGCAAGGACATCAGAGAAATGTGGAGATTGCTCCAGGAAAGTGTGGGAAAGAAGGCATCCTGCAACCATAGAACCTCTATATTTAGTGGTACTTTAAAATGGAAAGTGTTGGTGATTTTGCCATTGCAGAGGTCAAATGAGCTCCAGTCCCATTTGCTCTGCACAGGGAGCCATAGCCACCTGTCCCACCCCTTCCCTGTGTTCCCGAGGGAGGGAGGGACACTGGCCCCACTGCTGTCCTGGGGATTGCAAGGGGAGCCCTTCCCTTGCTGGGGGCACAGCCCCTCCCCAGCACACCCCGGCTGGCAGAGGGGATGAAGGGAGGGAAGCAGCAGTAGCCCCCAGGGCAGCAGCAGCTGCAGAGCCCCTTTCCTTTCTCCAGATCAATGAATGAGGTTTGCATCATCTTGATTGAT